ATGTCAGAATGTGAGAATTCAAGAATGGCACATTCAATTCCTATATCAAATATTTATATTAATTTTAATAACATGATGATCATAACAACAGCAGATTTCATTGCATTTTGTGAATGATTGATATCAACATACACATTATCATCTTCTTCATTTTCTTCACTATCTTCATTTTCTTCAAACTCTATATCAGAAAAAATATCTGAATATGTTGATTTGTAAATATCACAAAAAAATATAGATCTCATTGAATCTCAAATACATCATTATATTTAATGATATCAACTATCAGATGTGGAAGATGATGTTCTTGTCAGATGCAAAAATGATCAGTGATATAAATATTTTTAATAAAAATCAATAGAAATCATTTGAAAATCTATCATTATTCAATCAGTAATATTGAATGATACATTCAAAACTTCTCTTTTGTCATATATTGCAATCTCTGATAAATTTTGTTCATTTGATCATGGGATCCATTTAATCTGACAACATAGCAACTCTATGGAATAAAATAAGTACAGTATATGTGATATTTCTGGAGGAAAAAAGAATTAACATTCTTAAAGAATTTATTCACTTGCATGTCAAGAACAGTGATTATTTGATGTATGTACATCAATATCAATATCTGTCTGCTCACATGCGACAAGTAATGGAGGACTGTAATGAGAACTGTTTTCATGATTTTTTTATTATCAGTTTCTGAGATTATCAGAGAATCTACATTAAATCATGTTTTAATATATTTTACAGAACAGATCAGAATTTGATTATCAATTTAAATATCAACAATCTCACAAAACAAATTACTCATTAAATGAATAAGTTAGAGAATACTGAACATTTCATTTTAAAGCTTTAAAGATCAACACAATCATCAATGATAATGATGACAACAATTTAAATGCTTTATCAAAGTTCAGATGATAATAATTAACCTTTATATACTGAACACAATCATCATCATGATTTCACAGTGTGGATATTGTAAGATCTCAGTATATAAAGGTTAATTATTATCATCTGAACTTTGATAAAGCATTTAAATGGTGGAGGAAAGAGAATAAAAATAATAAAAACACTGACAACACTGAAGATGTCAAAAAGAAGGGAAAGAATAGGAAGAAGAATAAGAATGCTGATAAATTTACTGACATTAAAACATCAGATTTTGTTGTATTACAATTTAATAATAATACAGCAATTACTTTATCTATGTCATTTGTTATAACATTCAAACCATGGTATATTGACACCTGCACAAGCTTCAATATGATGGGTAAAAGGCATTTATTGA